CTACGAGCTTTGACATTTGAGTTAGAAAATGAGACTAATTACACATGGCTTACCTCAGTATACAGCCCTATTCCCAGTCTGTGTTGCAGGAAACAAATGCGAGGAAGTATATCCTCATTAATTTTAAATCATTTAAAACCATCCCAAATTTCAGTAGTATAAACAACTATTTGATTACACCCATGGAATCTATGGGTCAGGAACTTGAGGAGGCATAGTAGAAATGGCTTGACTTTGATGATGTCCAGGGCTTCAGTTAGGAAGATCCTAACATCTGGGTGTAGTGAGGGGGTTGAATCCATACCTACCAAGTGGAGTTATCTGGAGGTTCTGGGGTGACTTAAATGTTGCCCTTACGCTGGTAACATTTCTACCTGTAGCCTTTCCACATGGCTTACGATCCTCCCTCAGGTAGGTGGGCTTATGTAGTGGCTTTGCTTTTTAAATGTGAGTATTCTAGCAAAGATGGCAGAGCTGCATTGCCCTTATAATCTAGTCTGAGAAGCCACATAGCATCGCTGCTGCTACCATAATCTATTGGTAGAAGCTGTGCTCAGGTTTGAGGCTGCTCAGATTCACTGAGAGATTCTATCTCCCAGTGGGAGAAGTGTCACTGAATTTTATGGCTCTTTGTACAAAAAACACTACAGGGCACAAAGATCTAAGGAAAGTATAGGAGAGTGTTTGGAAGTAATGACTTGCTATAATTAATGACATCTTTGGGTTTTGGTCAGGGAATTCTTCCGTGCAAACATAAAACACTGGGCCTTCAGTTAACGGTGTTGAACATGAGCTAGTTTGATTTTGTGCAAGATTGTTCTGTTCTTTCCTGAAAACAATGCTTAAATTTAACAAAAAGCAAAACAAATGATAAAGCAAGCAAGCAAACAAACAAAAAGGACAGCATCTATCCTAGCATCAAACTTTTGAAAGCAATGTTGAAAATTTTGTAGTTCACCCACTGGCTCGCAGGTCGTAAAGACCCAATGTCATTTGCCAGCATGGGTCAGAGGAACAATGAAATCCTTCTGATGTTTTAAGATCATATTTTCGAGCTTTTTTTTTTTTAAAGATAAGTACATTTAGTTGAATTAAATTTGGGTCTTGTAGAAAGCCTCAGTTTCATTGTTTTAAAAATAAGCTTCCATAAGTGTGTATAATTTTTTTCATTTATGCAGCTTGAGTTATTCAGAAGCTGTGTTTTGGTGCTCAGCTGGGCAAAGCATTAGTGACCTGGTGAAAATGAGAGGGACTAGCTGTGCCTCTGAAAGGCCTGATCCTGTTAGAATCTGCCTCCTGGGCTGGAGGAGTTATTCATTCATTAAAAGCTATTGATCTAGGTAAATTGCCTGGGATTCATTATTACATTGAAGATGAGGACCTGGATTTGGGGCTGACAGTGCCTAAGACCTTACATCCTCCTGCTCGCCAGGTTTTGAACACGGGATCTAAAGGAACGTGCTATAAAAGTATAGGATAAGGAGTATAGATTTGACAAATTCAGAGGTTTATATCACTGCTTCTGTGATAATTGCCTAGTTAAATGGTCATTACTCAGAACCAAAGAAGGATAATTTTTAAAAATTTGTTGTTTCTTATTTTCTTCCATGGCTCGCCTCAAATAATCCTATATTGGAGAAAAATGAAATTTGGCAGATGTGAATTGGTATTCTGCACAATTATGAGGACATGGATTAGTTACCCAGACTTTCTGAGCCTGTAATCTAATAAAGTAGAGAATATAGAACCTTGTGTTGTAAGGATTAAAAGAGATATGGGACATAAAACCCCAAAGCCAATGGGAGAGTGGAGATCTGTTCATTTCTAGTTGCTTGATCCAATTTTCGTATCTGCAATGGCCTGGCAGACAACATAGAAGTGCTCCCTACAAATGGCATGGGCTTGAAGCTCCTATGGCCAGGTGTCTCTAAGACTGAATTTAATTCCATCCCTTCTCAGCAAGGTCATTGTTGTCTTTTCACCAAGTGAACCAAATCAGGCTTGTAACTGGAATTTCAGCAAGGTCATTGTTGTCTTTTCACCAAGTGAACCAAATCAGGCTTGTAACTGGAATTTCAGCAAGGTCATTGTTGTCTTTTCACCAAGTGAACCAAATCAGGCTTGTAACTGGAATTTCAGCAAGGTCATTGTTGTCTTTTCATCAAGTGAACCAAATCAGGCTTGTAACTGGAATTTCAGCGAGTTGATTGTTAAGGATAAGAAGACATTTTTACATTTATTGAATGTTGGCTGTGTAGAGCGCACTGAGTATTTCATCTACATTTTCTCATTTACTTATAAGATGATAGGTGTCACACTGCTTAGTCAACTCTCTCTTTTGGTTTATGGGGGGAGGGGCGGGCCTCCCTGAGAAACAACCTCATGTATTTGGAAGGTGATTGGGTCATGGGGCGCTACACTCATCAGAGCATTAGTCTACTGATGAGTTCTTAGTGAACTAGCTGTTAGGAGATTATTTATTTATTAGAGGGAGGTTAGAGGGAGATTGATTTTTTTGGTTAGAGGCAGGAGACTGGAGGTGTATATGTCCCTTCCTGGTTAGCATACACAAGCAACATTCCTCTGCCCAGGCCTCTCTGCTGTGCCAATTCTGTCCTGGAGCTGGCCAACCACACAAAGACTGAGCCCTCTAAAACTGTGAGCCAAGGTAAATCTCTCCTCCTTTAAGTTCTAGGTGTCAGACACTGTGTCTCAGGGATGAGACAAATGCAGTGCCTTAATGCCACATCCGTTTATTGTTTCTCTTGAGTCAAATTAACGGTTCTGATGTGAGCCAGACCTGGGCCAATCATGGCTAGGCTTGCTCATGTCACTGTGGTCCACATGTGGGTTAGCTGGTACTGAGCAGGTTAAAATGACCAGGACCACAGGGGACATCTGAGCTCTACTCCATGTGGTCTCTTACTTTTCTGAAGGCTCAGCCTGGGTTTGTTCTCATGGCAGTGACAAAAATCTTGAAGGAGGAAACATATATGCTACTATCCATTTGGCCACAGGAAATCACACAACCAACCCCTGAGATGAGGTGGGAGGGCACCTCCACAGTGAAAATGGATTCTGGGTAGCATAACAGATGGGAGTCATTAGTGCACTGGATCTACTACAATATATGCATTGTCATTAACCTCATCTGTACAGGAATAGCTGAAGGCTGGCAAGTGTCTCCCTGTTGAACACAGGTCTGCCCCCTGGTGTTTTGCTTTACTGTGTTAATTCCTAGTGTTCTGCTACTCCAAACTTCTGTCCAGTTAGCTTTATTTGCCCCTTTCTGACTTTTTGGGCTGAATTGGACTTTCATGTAAAATGTTTGCCCCAGTTCAATGCCATCAGGGATTGTACAGGTGAGTTGGTATGGTAGGTGTACTTAGAGAAAATCAAGGGGGAGCAGATAGGGAGTTGGATGAGCATAAATAGAAGCAAATGAGTCAGAACTACAATCTTCAGCTTTCTGGCTCCCCTGATTTTGTCTGTCAGCTTTACCTCTTCATGCCACACTTTTTGGATTCTGGTAACAAAATCTAAATAAGGCTACATCTGTGCATTGATTTGGGGTCCTTGCCAGCTCTTCGACTTTGGGCAAATCTAATGTCCTTGACCCTCCATCTGCTCATGTGTGAGATAAGAATATAGCCTAGTCATTGACTTGTAGGGTAAGGGAAGCCTGAGGTGATGAAACTCCCCTGGTCATGCAGCTACTGTGATTTGTGGTTGTCCTTAAGCATCTGTTGGTGCCCAAAATGCTGAAGTTTGCTTTTGTAACTGTATGCTCTGGGTATGCTTCCAGGGTGGCACAGGTGGCTGAGCAGTACTAGGGCTGTTAATAGACTTAATGGCTTTGTTGAGTATTCCACAGTACACTTATTAATTATATGATGCTGTTGAGTCACCGTTGCAATGCATACATTTCGTTAATTGATTTGTATAGGCTGGCATCTAGCAACATAAAGAATATGCAGAACCATTACATTTACAAGGGATTGTAATTGCTTTTACTGCCCTCTCTTGCTTCCCAGAGGGAGAACACAGACTTTGAGTTGAAGATCTCCAGTGCCCACTCAGCCAGTGTTTACTGGCAGGGCAAGACAGCTAGCCTGGGTGCTTAGGAAGCACCCTGGGTCGACGTAAAAAAGATGAATGAATAAATAGTTTGTTTCTATTCTTCCCTATCTACCTTTATTTCCAAACGACTTCTTATGAACTTTGGATTGTATGGTGCTACTTATTTGTAAACATGGTCATGGTCAAGGATTTATTCTGAGGCATTAATATCTGTTTAGCACATTAATGATCCTTCTGTGAAGGCGGTTGACGGTGCCCCTTGTGCCTGGGCCCTGTGCTCAGGGATCTGCCGGTACTGTCTGGCACAAGATTTTAAAGGCCTGACATTAAGTGCTCTGTTCTTGGAGATTCAGTGAAAGCAGAAAAGTGCTAACTTCGTGCAAGGAAGTTTCCGTGTGGTCCCAGCTGCAGACCCAAGTCTGCCTCTTCTGATTTAGCAGAATTCCTCAGAATCCCGCCTGGCCCGCCTCTCAGAGATGGCGCAGAGCCTGGACGCTGCCATCCAGGTCCAGAGTGCTCTTCCCTGCGCGACAACTCCTAGCAGGTCTTACGCCTTCCAGCACTGGTGTGCGCCTGGCGCCCTCCCCAGACCAGGCGGCAGAGAGCTTCCACTGACCTAGCCAAGGGTAGAACTCAGAGCAACATCTGCCGGTTCCCTCCGCCCGAATCTCAATTCAAAGGGTAGGCACAGCAGGGCCGGGTGCTCCCCATTCGCTCCCGCAGACGGCCCTCAGGCCCCCGCGCACTGTCCAGGGCAGCCTGTCATCCTTGCAACCCCTGCTTGGAGAGCTGGAGAGGCGCCACCGGGCCTCGGGGCTTCTTGAAGCAGCTCAAAGGATTCCCCTGGGAGCCAGCTCCAGACTGAGGCGGGAGGACTGGATAAGCGCCAGCGTGGTGATTGGGGGTGGAAAGTTGGGGGATTGAGCCGCCGGCCGCGGAGAGCGGAGCCCGGCGCTGTGTCCGCGTCTCATGAATATGCAGGAGCCACCTCCCTCCCTCCTTGACGTCACGGACCGTCTCGGGGTGAGCTCTGGAGCCGCTCAGGGTCCGCGCCAGTGAGCGCGGCTGCTGCTGGCGAGCGCGCGGCGCGGCGGAGGGCTCCGGAGACCGAGCGCGGCGGCGACGGAGAGCACCAAGCCCTCCCTGCGGGCGCCGAGACTAGCCCTCGGCGCGGGAACATCCGGAGGCGAGAGCCAGCGCGGGCAGTAGGTGGCGGCGGCAGCTCGAAGGCGGCTCCGGCGGCGAGGATGCTGCCCGGGAGGCTCTGCTGGGTGCAGCTCCTGCTGGCGCTGGGCGTGGGGAGCGGCGGCGGCAGCGGGGATAGCCGGCGGCGCCGCCTCCTTGCGGCCAAAGGTGGGTGCTGGGGAAGTTTCCTAATCTCCAGGAGGCAGGCAGGGCGGTACGAGGGTGCGGACCGCCGAGACCCCGGCTCGCGCTGGAATTGCCCACCCTTCTTCCCCGCAGCTGCTCCGGCCTCTGAGCGCCCACGGATCCCGAATTCAGAGCTCCGTGTAGCTAGCGGGCCCTGCCCCTGGGCGGGGTCCAGAGACCGAGGAGAAGGCGAGGTCTGGGGAGTCCAGACAACTTTGGGGGAGGTCTTTGTCCGTGTGAGAGTGTCACGGACTGCGGCCAAGGACAGCGGAGCTAGGGCTGGCGCGGTAGCCGGGAGGAAGAGCAGGTGTCTCTCGCGCCCTGAGGGAAGGCTCGAGCAGTGTCTCCGAAGGAGCTAGCCGAGCTGTGACTGGTTTTCCAGCTCGAGGATGGAGTGGAAACTTGTGGGCTCCAGGGAAGCATCTCTTCGCACTCCATTAGCTCCCCTAGGACAGTTCTGGCTCCCCTGGGAACTCTGGCCCTACTGGTGGGCATCAGTCTGGTCGAAGTGCGAGACGTAATGCTCCCCACTGCCTCTCCGACTTTGCTGGGGCTCCTGAGGTCTAGAGCCCGCACCCTTTCCTCGTTCACTCAAAGAGTTTGAAAATCTTGACCTTCCTGCTCTCTCTCTCATTCAAAAGCTAGATCCCAGCAAACGCCTGTTCTATTAGGCTAGCTTAGAAGCAGATCTCCGGACTTTGACAGTTGCTGGAGCGCTGGGCGGATCGCTCAGGTGAAGGTGCCTAGAGAGCGGGTTTGAAACAGAAATCACGTGCTAGCTGCTGATAAAGAGGCTTCGGAGAGCAGGCTCTGGTGAGGGTGGGCAATGGTAGTGGGCGCAGGGCAGGCTCTAGCAGATCTGAGGCAGAGCGCTCAGCCTGGTGATAACTTGTTGATTCTCTGCTGCTGGCAAGGAGAACGTGCGTTTGGATTTCTGCTCTAGGGCCAGATCTGCAAGATGACAATAAGGGTAGTCCTTGGAATCTTGGCTGGAAATCATCTGAGAGAGAGGGGTTTGCGCCGGTCAGCAAACAGCTGCGTGAAAGATCTGCTTGGGAGGCTGGCTTTGAACTGTAGCTTACCAGTAGTGTGCATACCGTACAGTTACTTCCGGTGGGTGGGGCGATCCAGAGGTCCAGTGTGGGCATCAGGAACTATCTCTTCTGTAACTCAGGAGTTGTAAGGACTGGGGAGCTTCTGTTTGTAATATTTGCATGTATAGTATTGGTGAGATAATTCTGAAGATTTCATAAGCAAGTATCTTGTTTCCTTCTAGCTTTTTTCCCCTGGTTGACCTAAGGTTTTTTTTCTCTTTTGAAAGACAACAAAAAACGAGGCACTGCTAAGCCTTTTGGCCCTCCTCTCTTTTGAAGACACTTGGTAAAGCAGGCAAATTACTTGCATGCAGGGTGTGTGTGTGTGTGTGTGTGTGTGCGCGCGCGTGTGCACACACACACACACACACACACACTGCAGAACAAATAGTATACATAAATGGGTTCTTCAAACAGGAGAGAGCTGGAAGCAGATGAAGGCCAGGGGAGAAGTCACTGTAGAAGAGAACCTCGTGTGTACAACACATTGCTGAGCTCTTAGGTTGGAAGGGAAGGGAAGGCCAGAAGAGGACAGGAAGAGAACATTTAAAAAAAAGAAAGAAAGAAAGAAAGAAAGAAAGAAAGAAATAAATAAATCCAGGCTCTCAATGTACTTTTTGTGAATAATTATGTGCATTTCAACCAATATCATTCATTTTCCTCTCTTAGAATGCATCAATTTCATAGTTAAAACCAGCCATTTGTCCAGTGTAAAAAGTTTATTGGCTCTGCAGGAGAGTTCACTGTCTGAATTCCTCCTTCTGCTGACTTCTTCCCCCTTCCAACCACTGGGAGGCTGCAGAGAGCACCTTTTGCTGCATTTGTAAAGATAAACTCATATTTGATCACAGCAGAGACATTTTATGATGACACTCTAGCTGGTATTTACAGAACTGATTTCCTTGATCGAAATGCAATTATATTTTACATTTCTAAATCATACAATCTCTTAAGAATGTTTTCTGATAATAAAGCTACATGCTTTTGATATAAAGCTCCGTGCCTCCAACTTTCTCATCTTTAAGGTTTGAGTCATCATTTGCAGCACAAATAAATAAATAATTAAACTCAGGAAAGCATGTGAAAGAGATTTGATAAAAATAAGCTTTTTTTGCCCCTTCTACATACTATCTGTATCGATGTATAGAAGAAAGTTGGAGACATAGCACCCAGCTGGTTGGCAGAGTTGAATGTGCACCCTGGACAACTCTTCCCAAGTGTGTGCTCTCGGGCTTTGGGCTGGGATAAGATCTGTTTGTAGTACACAGCTTGCTCTGCCTTTGTGTGTCTTGGTTCTTGCCGTGGGAGCTCCAGTACCTAGTCTCAGACAACAGTTTGGGGCTTTAACTCTAATGGTGCATTTTTCTTTTCAAAGTTAAGTTTATTTAGATTAGATTTATGATAATCTAAATTGTAATCCTATGGTACAATTTAGATTATCCATAGGAATCACATTTATCATGGGAAATTTGTACCTGTACCTGATTTATTTTAGTCCCTCTTCTGTCCCTTCCTTTACCCCTCTCTTCAATTCCACTTCCTCTTCCTTATTTACAAAGCTTTGTTTCCATTTTACCTTTTTTTTTTTTTCTGTTTTCCTTTTCCCTTCCACCCCTGTCCCAAGTTCCTCTTTCTTTTTAAACAATAACTTCCTATTTCATTCTATTAAACATTTTGGTTCTTATTTACACTTTCAGTTTCTTACACCAGAGAGACAATGCAAAGTCCGATTTACTTCATTTAAGAGTATGGTCTCAAGGGCCATATATTTAGACATAAATGTCTGACATTTATCCTTTTTTATGGCTGAGTAGCACTCTATTGTATTAAAAAACTACATTTTTATCCATTAATCAGTTGGTGGGCAGAATGGTGTATTTTCCATGCAAACATATTCCCAATTTCAGAAATAATATACTGAATAGGCAGTTACAGACTTTATCTTCATCCCTGGTCCCCATAGCTGGGCTGTTTAAGAAAACAACACAGAGTAAATTCCTCAAACAGATTAGGTTATATGCATATGCTTTATGAACAAAGCTGGGACTGCATTTTTGGACCCAAGAAGTCTCTAGGGCTGAGAAAGCAAGTCTTATTCAAGGTAAAGAGAATCCTACAATCTAGGGAGATACCTGGAGATTTGTGCTAAACCTGGCAGAATGGCAGTAACCTCCTGATCTCAAGGACCTGATACACTGTCACTTTTCAACTTGCAACTTGCCAGCTTAGAGGTTGTTTAGATCAATCTTTGAGTACAGACCACCGATTTTTGTAACATTCACTTGTGTGCCCAGAGCCTGGCTAAGTTGTCTGTATGCTTCTGGGCAGACACAGGAAGACCATCCTCTGGTCCGTTCCATCCCAATCCCTCTTTGATGAACTTTTGAATCAGTTGGAGAGAAAATTTTTAGGTCCAAAGTAGAATGCTGAGTGATAGGGACACAGGCAAGAGAGGTAGTATGGGGAGAGTAAGTTTACAAAAGCCACTTCTGGTAGTAAGGAGAGGAGAGTGCAGGTTAGGAAGGTAACTGCAACCACAAGGGTGGAAGCCGTCCTTAGTGTGTAGCAAGTGCTGTGCTCATCCTGCTCCTGGGGGCTGTCCTACAACACATGCAGAGCCATTGCTAGCCCCTTGTACACGTGAAGCAACGGAACCTGAGAGCAACTACATGACCTGCCAAAATCTCCAGCTAGAGCATGCATCCCTGTGGTGAGAATAAGGTTCACTTCGTCTGTCCCCCCAACTTTCCTTTGGGCTTGAAAGCAGATCTGAGGTCCCCTGGAAGGCTGAGCTGTACCTCCGAGTGACCTGAGCACCCCGTGGTCCTGCCTACAGCAGCTGGAATGTCCAGGCTGCTGTGTATGAAGGACATGGAGGTAAAGGGCGGGAAGGAGGCCTGGCTTTCCTTTATGGAAATCCGCATTCTTGCTCAGAGCAGGAGCTTCATTCTCCTGCCCAGACATTAAGAAACCATCCTAAAGTATTCAAGATTTCACATTGCAGAATTTCTGGTAGAGGCACAAGTGGCATGGAATTGTTTGATGAATTGTGCTTAATTGTAGTGGGCACATATCATATGTTTCCTGGGAGTATGATAGTAACTTCACTAGCTGAACCACGAATGCCGAGGATCCCTCAGCAGTGCTGTGCTTCCCAGGCTGTACTCTAACCAGCAGTCAACCTGAGCCACCATGGTTTCTGGACTGAAACATGCCCTTTCTCTGCCCTGGACCCTACAATCTAATTAGAAGGGCATCTGTCTCTGTTTCATTTCTGTTGTGACTCAAGATGTGTTCAGACTTGGGCATGACCTTTCTCAGGAATCTTCTGGGCTGGTCAGTGACAGGTGACAGTGCCTGTCTCCCTGGCACATGAGTGTTTCGTTACCTGACTCCAGGGGTTGGCTGGGGGTCCTGAGAGCTGAAGCCCCATCATGGCTCTGCCCTAAGGACCTAGCTGAGAGATATGAGCTGGACAGTCAATAGTGCTTGCTTGGTGAATGAATTTATATATTTGTTTGTTTAATCTTTTAAAGAGAATAAAAATAGTTTAAAACCCTTAGAAATGATACAGAGTTTCACTAAATAAAATGGTAGGAATTCAACAATGATTGTTAGAGTGTGTATTGTTGCCTTCAAATTAGTTGTTCAGATTACCAGATATAAGCATGCAAAATTACCAAAACAATATAAAAGAGGAAAAAAGAAAAAAAAAAGCATTAACTGTTTCTTTCAGCAGAACTCAATGTATTTTTTGACATAAATATTTCAGATTTTTCTCCTCTGAAATACACAATAAAGTATGGGCTTAGCTGTCAAAGAAACCTGGGTTCCAGTCCTGGCTCTCTCATTCCCTAGCACGTGATCTTGTGTAAGGTTTAACTATCT